GCTGAACCTGATCTTGTGCCCGAGCCTTCTTGTATCTAGCCCAGCAAAATGCTGTGTGCTGGAGGAATAGGAAAGTGAGTCCATCCTCCATCTTCTTGATCATTTTGGCAACTGTGGCATCAAAATCAACCATGATCTAGTGTGGACAAGAAAGGTACTACCTTTACTGTTAAAAGTAGACTCAACCTTAATTTAAGTCATAAGGATTTGTTGGATTAGTGCTGATTTTAGTGCCGAAAAAGCTGTCAAAACACAGAACGGGATTTCTGATGAGCAATGTCGATTTGAACTAAAAATAGTTACGAAACTGGCCAGTTTTTCATCAAGTATATTATTAAGACAATAGAAAATACTGATTTTCAAAGGTATATCCCAGAGCTAGAAATCAGATGCCCATAAAACACTTCTGAGCAAAAGTAAATTAAGTTAGCAAGTTCTTAAGCTCATCACTTAGGAATGAGACCTTGCAATCACCAGGCACCTCCATTCTAGTGCAATAAAGAGGCCCCAGGCATATATCCAAGCATCAGCACACACACGTTTATCCATCTCATGAAATTATTACCGTGATACCTGGTATGATTTTACCAACACCCTCCCCCAGCAACACCCTGACACCTGTGAGGTGCCAGGGTAGCGTGGAGCAGCAGCTGTTGCCACCAGGCAGCTTGAAGACCCTCTTTTCCTTGTGTAAAGCAATGCAAAGAGATGAATTTTACTCAGTGCTTAGATGAGAAAATCAGATTGACTTTGTGAGGTAACTTTCCTATTTCTGTGCTCATCTTTCTGGAAACATTGATGCCTTCTTTTCAGAAGAGGATACACCCACAATTATCCTCGTCGGTTTAACCTCTGCAGTGAGTTGCTATAAATCACTGCAGCTGGAGCTGAGCGGGGAAGCTCTTCCAGATTCCTTCCTAGTCTGCCTCTGGTATGAGGTCAAGACCACAGCTTTGAATCTCAAAGCTAGCAGCAGGTCACAAGCTGAGGTACTGCAGACCGAACCTAACGCCCAGGACCAAACAAGGTGGCTGGGCTCCTGCCGGATCATGCAACTTCATAAACCCTATGACAAGACACTTGGGAGCCAGGGATGAATTTTCCTTTCGTTAGGGGGATTTTGATAGTAAAGCAACTCTCCGGAGGATCTCATGCAGCTTCGTACCTGGCTGCCCTCAGGGTGTGCAGCAAAATTCTTCTCTCTGGCAAAGTTTTCCCAGCGAAATGATACAAACAGAAGAAGGTGAAAGTAGGGAACCAAGTCAGGCTACTCCCCTGCTTACCAGGAAGAGTTACTTCCAAACAAAAAGAAGGGAAGAGGGCTTGAGAAATTCATAAGGAATGTTGTCACGGGAAGAACATAAATGTTATGATCATGGCCACTGAAGAAATTCTGTAAAATAGATTAGTTAGGGAACCAGCAAGGCAGGGATGTCAGCCTGGGCTAAGTGGGTGAAGTCCCTTGTGTTTATTTTCTGATGGGGTTTTTGTTTGTTTAAATTCTGTAGGTCAGATAGTGACTATTACTTTCTTGTCCATTCCTTATTAATTAACAAATCCAACATAATTAAGTCCTGTATTGCAAGCATTTCAAGTCACAAAGCACTTGTGAATGCTGAGCCACCACATTCACAGCTTATTTTTTCATGATTACTGCAATGATACAGTCAACGGGATTACCTGCTAGGTCCTGGAGGCTTTCTTGATGAATGCATTTACTGTTTAAAATTAAGGATCTGATTGACTGTCAATTATTAAGTAAAACAGAAAAACAGTGGGAAAAACTGCTTCTTGCCTATTCTCCCACCTAAAATGGGAGTCCTTATTCTGCTGCCCTTGGCATATGCACTGAGATCCCCAGTGGGGGGAAGAAGATCAGCTCTTCTTGCATTGGCTGCTGAGCTTCCTCTAGCAGTGGCTGAAATCACAATCTGTCCCTGTAATGCAAAAGGCAGCGTGGAATATCAGTGACCTGCCACAGACTTGGACCCGCAGGACCATGTGCCCTGCACAACCAGTGAGCTGTGATTCCTCAGTCTTCTGTCCTGAGTGATGTGTGGTTATTTCAATAAATTGTGGCTAACCAAATGAAATCCATATTTATATGCATAGCCACACTGAAATATTTCAATTGGATACATGTTTGTCACCAGCTAATTCTCATGTAATTGTGCCAAAGTATTAATTTGTTGGTCTCCTCAGCTCGTATCCCTGGCCTTTGTTACTTTACTTCCCAAGGAGTGTGTAACAGCTTATCTTCTACCACCACTGAGAATAAAATGCTGTATTAGGATGGGCTGAGAGAACACAGCCTTCTTTGCAATCCCTGTTTTTACAAAGGAAAGTTAAAGAAATGATCTCGGTGAAGAAGAGCACTCTATATTCTTGCACATTTTCTTTTTTTATTGTTCTTTCGACGTGGGGAAACATCTTACCTGTGAACAATCCCCTGGCAATGCAGGTGCTCTACTGCAGACAGAATTTGCCTGGTGTATCTCTTTACTTCCCTTTCCGCCAGCCTCTTTTTTTCACAAATTCTGTCCAGGAGGTCCCCACCGAGGCACAGCTCCATCACCATGTAATAGGAGTTGTCAGTCTCCAAGGTCTCATATAGCTGGACAACGTTGGGGTGCTTAATCATCTGATGTATCCGTGGCTCACGCTTCATATTTTTTAAAACGTAGGAATCCTGCTTGGCTTTTCTCTTGTCAATGACTTTTATGGCTACCTAAATTGCAGGATATATGCGAATTGGCAACAAGCTTTGCAACCTAGATTAATTTTCAAAATGATGTGGACTAAGCTGACATGTGAGAGAAGCTGTTTTTAATGTGATGTTAATAATCGATATCACAGGGGGAGACATTCTTAATGGAAGAATACACTTTTTATTTCTCTTGAAAGCCCAAATGAGAAGGTTGAACTGTCATATCTATCCACCTGACTGCATGAATAAATAC